CCCAATGTGGAATTAATAAGTGGAAATGTTGTTGTTGTTGTTATTTCCACATTGGGGAACCTTTTGTGTATGCCATTTGTGTATGCCCCCATTATGGGGGCTGAACTAGAGCAACCAGTGCTCAGGTTCCAGATTCAATCCCAACCATATCTAAATAAAAGGACTTGGTAGCACACAACGTGAACGATCATTTCCCTTACAGACTCCAGAGCTGCTACCAGACCATCAGGACTAGATCAGACTGCACCAAACGAGATGCATTGGACTCCCAACTCCCATCATCCTTGCACATTGGCCATAATGCCTGGGGTTGATGGCAGTTGTAGTTCCCAGGTTGGGGAAGAAATCTAACCCTGTATAAAGCAGATTCCTGTGTTCCTCTTGTATACGTATCAGAACAGAGTACCTTCCTTACAAGGAAAGGTTACAACACTTGGAGCTTTCTAGCTGAGAAAAAAGGCAAGTAAGTGGGGAACATGACAGAGGTGTATGACATAATGCACAATGCAGAGAAGCTTTTCTCCTTCTCGTATAATACTAGAACCCAGAGCCATCCAATGATGAGAGATTCTTTATACAATGCATTATTAAATGATGGAATCTGTTACTACCAGATGTTGCTAATGTGGATGGCTTTGAAGGGGAATTAGACAATTCACAGGGGATTCAACGATCAATTGCTACTAGTCCTGATGGCTATACATTGCTTCCAGTATCAAAGACACTGCTACGGAACATAAGCTTCTCATGAACAGCTGGTTGGCTACTCTGGGGACAGAATGCTAGATGAGATAGGTCTTTGGTTGGATGCAGCAGGAGGCTTCTTATGGAAATTGTACTTTTTCTTATACTTTGTTTGGGGCTTTAGAAAAAATCAAAAGCTCTGGGGATGCTTTTGCCCTTCTTCAGTGCCCAGTCTGAAGTGACCTTTTCTCTTTTAGGTTGTGGGGAAGGCTGAAAGCACTGGGAGAGGTGAGATACTCTAAACTTTTTCTAAACCCCATTCCAAAATGAGAGCTGCAACCTCCAGTCCACTGTGCATACCTCAACCTGGCACCATCTAAATGTGTTGGGATAAAATTACTACCAGCTCCTGTCAGTATAACCAATGATGGGGCTAGTTTGGAGAAGGCTGAGGTAAGTCATAAAGGCAATCTATTGGTCCTCTAGGCAGCATATAAGTATATTACAATGTATGGGGCTGGAGTATATCAGGATAAATAGCAATCCTGTAAAAATGAGCCATTTGCCTGGTTGCCTGTCTCAGGTGAGCAGGAAGAAGAGCTTTTGTAAATCAGAAGAAAATTGGCTCTTTTCTTTTCGTTAATGGGCCACATTAAATGTACAGATCTCTCTCCTCTTGCATAACTTAACTAACCACTGGGGGAACCTCCAATTTTGAAGCAAGCAACACCACTGGAGGAGGG